TGATGGAGTGAATGATGGAGATGATGGAGTGACGGAGATGATGGAGTTATGGAGATGATGGAGGTGATGGAGTTATGGAGATGATGGAGGTGATGGAGATGATGGAGTGATGTAGACGATGGAGATGATGGAGTGATGGAGATGAAAGAGTGGTGGAGATGATGGAGTGATGCCTCTAGGCTCTCAGAAATCTGCTTTTATGCTAGACCCTAAATTAAGTGTGAGGGAAGAATGAAGGTGTTTTTAGTCTACTGTGGACTCAGAAAATTTAGCACCTGTATGGTTTCTTCAGAGCAAGTTGGCTGAATTTTGACTATCATAGTCGGAAGTCTGGGACAGACCCTATCTAAGATTAGTGAGTAGAGAGTGGTGTAAGAACAGGAGGAGGTTGGAAATGCCTGGCCAGAGGAAATAGTCAAAGTGGTTGCCACACGGGCAGATGGGGAGATGGCTGAGGCCAGCACTGCCACCTCCCAGCACAAGCCCTTGGCATTTTTAACCAAATGTACATGTTGTGCTTTCAATGTTGCTTTCGGCAGGAAGGCACATGGAGCTTTCTGAGCACTGACACCGTCCCCCTCACATTGCCTTTTGTTCTCTGAGTGGCCGGCCTCCAGTGGTCCCATCTTGTTTGAGTAAGGGAGGCTGCCCTGCTCCTGCCACAAGCATCTCTTGCCAGCATCACCTCTGCCTGTGCGGCTTCCTGTCTGGTAGCTGTCCAGAGGTTTGCCCTGGCAGTGAGAAGCCCAGGCCCCTCCGATTCTGTTCCAATTACCCACCCTGAGGGGCCTGGCAGGAGCACCATTTCCCCGCCACACCTTGACCAAAAGAACACCAGCTGGGCAGTCACTTGCTTTCCAACAAACAGTTGGGGAGGAAAAAACGTTTTCCTTTACTCACTTTTGGTTTTTGGTGACAGGAGTCCTGCAAGTTGAACTGACCAAAGTAGCTAAACAGGAGAAAAAGTGTTATTCCGTATGCATGTGGGGTCTTCACGAAACGAAATGAAAACCTCACAGCCGGGCGCTGCGTGCTTCAGTGGTGTCATGCCTCTTCTTCAGAGCCAGTAACATCTTCTCCGAAATATCCTTAAATATGGCAAATCTTTGTCTTTAAAGGTAACTTTGAATTTTGTTTTTCAGTACAGACCAAAGTAATTTGGAATCAAGTATTTTACATGAAGTGAGTGATTCAGATGTGCAGTCACACTGACCGAGAAGTCAAAGTGCCCCCAGCTGCTGCAGGGACGCCGGCGGTGCCTGGTCTCATGCACTTGGGCCTGCCGCCTACGTGCAGGAGCGCCCCGGACGACCGCCTGCAGTCTCCCCTCTGTGACCTCCTCGGCTGTCACGTGGGGAGGACAGCGCTTCACACCTCACAGGGATCTGTTCTGTCGCTTTGCGTCGGAACCGAGGGGCTTCCTTGGACAGTGACATGGACGTTTGGGGCAAATGGTGCAGCTGCCCCCCTAGAATTAGGTGATCCATGTGCACGGGGCACTGTGAGTGCTCCGGAAGTAGCTCCTCTTATTTCTTTTAAAGATAGTTCAGAAACAATGGGGATTTTTGTTAACGGAAACGGTGAGGTGGCGATGAACTCCAAAATGGCGCCCAGACTTCCCTCCATGCACCGAGTCTGCTTGTCCTTTTCCCCGTGACCTGCGGGCCTGGCCACAAGGTGCAGCTTGACCAAGGGGACAAAAGCGGCCCTGTCACCAGCAGAGACTTGGGAAGTGCTTGGAAAGGCGTGGACGTCCCCGCTCTTGCGGTGGGAACCTTCTGCTGCCTGCTGTGTGGACAGGCCGAGTTGGCCTCTCGAGAATGAGGGAGTGAATGGCGGAGACCTCAGGTGCCCCGGAGGCCACATCTCTGCCAAGGCCTCACACGTGAGGGAGGCCCTCCTGTACCCAGAGAGCCTTCCAGCCAACCCTCCACATTTCGGGAAATGATGCTGCTTCCTTTACACCATCAGGCTGGTGGTGGTTTGTTATATAACCGATTCAGAGATTTTTTTTTTTAAGCTAAGAAATAAAGCTAAAGTTCTTTGGTGCATAAAATCCAGAAGGGAAAGAGGTTCTGTATGTTGATGGTAGAAAAGAACACAACACTGTTTTGATCATTAGTTTGTTTGTTTTTCTTTTTGAATGACTACCTCTTTGAAAATGCCTCTCTAACAGAGGGAAAATGTAGTATAAAAATTCCAGGTTAGGTGTTGGGGACCCATTTGGTATCTTCTCTCGGGCACATAAATCTCAAAGGAAAGTCTTCAATAAAAACACAAAGTTCTGCACAATTGATGTCAGCAGTTTTCCTCCCCTGTAGGAGTAACAGATACTCCAGGTGAGTGGTTCTCAGGGTGTGGCCCCAGGTGAGGTGATCTTCCCGCTTTGCCCTATGGCTGCTCCAGCGTCAACGCTGGAAAGGCCCAGATCACAGCAACCCTCCTTCGCCGCTGGCAGACTGTGGGGCTGTTACCCTGTTCTGGGCCCAACCGCGAAACATCACTTGGGAAGTGGATGAAATGTGCATTCTGGGCCCCACCACAGGCCTGCCGAGCAGGATCTCTGGGGGTTAGGGGGAGGGTCAGGTCGGCTGGGCAGTGATGGTGCAGCTAAGGGTGGGCTCCCGGGTCCAGGTTTAATCTGGGGAAGGCCTGGGAGGGACTGGGTTTGGGGGCAGAGCTGGAATCCCATCAGACGGTGCGCAGACCTGCAGCAACCACCACTCTGCCGAGGGGAGGGGTCTCGACAGTGCTGCTTCCACCTGACTCGGGCGCAGGGAGCCTCGTGGCTCCAGGGGATGGCTTTCCAGGCTCCTCCTTTCCCTGTGGGCGTCGCCAGTGTTTCCTGCAAGTGGCACATGCGGATCATCCCTGTCGGAAAATTCTGAGTCAGACCCATGGTGGAGGTGGGCCCTGGAAGACCAGGTGTGATGTATTTGCAAAGCACTTTACGCCATCAGCAGTGGTGAAGGGAAACTTAGAATTGTAATAAATTCGCACTTGAGCGTCGTCCCACCATTGGAAGGAGCATGGCCTTCAGCCCCAGTAACACAGATTGGTAAGCAGATGTCTTTTGAGGAAAAAAAAATAGAAGTCGGTATTCTGAAATTCAACACTTGTTTATTTAATCACATTTTAACATTTACTGAGCTTTGTAGGTGATATGCCAGTGTTGTCTGGTCCTGGTGGAAAATATGAACTGCCTCCACCTGAACACAGAAGAAACCTGATCATTAGCGACAGACATGCATGTGGCCAAGAATGCTATCTCTCTCTTTTTAAAGAATTTCTTAAGGAGAAAATTTGACAGCAAGACAATGGCCCCATAAATTTGTGTGGCACCCCTGTTATTTCACAGTTGCCGAAGAGGGAGAACCAAGTGTCATTTGTCACTTTCTGCCATCTGAGAAGTCACTCTGTGTGACGATTTCCAGGTGCAGCTGCTGTGGTCTCAGGAAAAAACCAGTACACACCGAATGCCTATGAGCCGCTCCCAGCATGGTGGTGAGCTGCAGCCAGAAGAACACACCCAGTCCTGCCAGCAAAGGAAGCTCCATCGACCACAGCAGCCACCTTACAGCTGAGAAAAGCAACATAATGTCACCTGATGCACCAGCCACAGCGCCTGCCACACATGAGCTCTCAAAACCTCGGCTGCCCTCATCACTTCCTGCCATTCTGGAAGAAAAGTTAAAATTGGAATTAGCAGTAACACGGGCCTCTCAGGGTTTTGAATAAATGGTGCTGAAACTCATCCTAGTAACTTAACTGGGGACCAGGCATCTTAGCTGGTGTTGCAAAGTCACGCGGGGCTGGGGATCCCCACGCCCTCTGGGTGAGCTGGGCCTTGCCTGCTAGCTCTGTAGACAAGGCAGATTCCAAAGGGCAGTGTGGATGTGCTTGGAGTTTTAAAAAATTCTGTGAGTGCAAAGCCTTTGGATATCGGAGTCTGCCTTGAGAGAGTCTCAAGCTGATATTTACACAACTGTGCATCTCGAGATACAGTTTAAATGCTGGCATTTAGTTTATAGAAAAAGAAAATATGAAGTAAAGAAGAGACAAAAGCTATCCTATCAAAAAATAACCAAATACTATCCAACCATTTTTAAAATTTCTGATTCTGACATGGGGAAAGTGGCTGCAGATGCTGCTGCTCATGTCTAGCAGGTGGAAGAAGCTGGTGGAACGCTGCCTGGGGGCTGGGTGGATTCTGGGTCCTCCGGGGGGCTGAGTAGATTCTGGGTTCTCCCAGGGGCTGGGTGGATTCTGGGTTCTCCTTGGGGGCTGGGTGGATTCTGGGT